ACGTGATGGTGCAGTAAATTAAAAATATTTTGTCTTATCTTATATAACATATGTATGTTTATATGATATGTTTTAATGATTTATATATTGTGATAAAAAGCACCCGGAAATTGTAATTAAATTCCAAGGGTAAACGATATTCCAAAAAAATTTAAAAAAATCAAGTCAAATATGAGCGCGATATGTCTACCAGTTTGTTTACAGAAGCCAATTAAGTTCGTACACCCGCAGTTCGTTTCGATTCTTGAGATGGATAAAAAATATCGAACAAATAATATGTCTCAAATTTTGAATTTTTAACCAAACTGCGTGTGCAGAATCGGTGATTCAGTTTTAATAAAACACAAGCATTGGAATGGTACACAGCCTTTCAAGACGGTCAAGAGATCGTTAAATTCATACCTCATTCTGAACGACCTTTGACCTCTTCAACTGATGAAAATATTTGAAAAGTTAATCGTTAGGAAAGTGTTAGAGAGATGTTGCGAGTCCGTTCGAATGATTTTGGTGTAAAAACGTGTTCTTGCTCGACTCGTCCCGCAACGATTACCATCGATCAAGCACCCCCAGATTCCCCAGATTTGGCTCCGTGAGATTTTCCTAGTTCTCCATATTGAAATTTCGTTCCGTGGAACCCGTTTTAAGTCGATCGAAAATAACTGAAATATGCTGAAGGAGCAGAAAGCCATCCCAAAAAGTTGTAAAGAAAAGTGTTTCGAGGATTTCGATATGTGACAAAAAAAAACGTTGGCATAAAGTTATTATTTTGTGGCGATTACTTTGCAAGCGAAAAAAATAAATAATAATCCGGGTATTTTTTTATCACAATCCATGAAGTACAGCTATTTTGTCATTTTAGTAAATTGTGGTGGTTTGACTCCTAGTCACAATTTGAGTGTAAACTACTGTTATCTAAAATATAGTTCTTAAATATGTACTTAAAAAATAGTTTACTAACATTTTATTCTTCATGTCAAAACTATTTTTAATAGCTCTAGAAACCTTAATAAGCACCTAAAAGGTGTTAATCGATTTTTAGCGAATTTGTATTAAAGACTAAAACTTGCGATTATACCATAGATGATCGGAGCTGATTTCAATAATTGTTGAAATCACAAATTTCTGCTTTTATTTTTGTGATTTTTTGCATATTTACTTATATAACATATATATGTAAATACATATCTAAATATAGCCAACTTCTAATCAAAAACTTGTGACTTCTGGCTACTACACGATTTCATTATAAAACAAAGGAGGCGCCACAAAGCACACATTGCTATCTTAGGTGAGATTGTGGAATTGTTTATTTGCACTTTTGTTTAGTGAACAAGTTTGCAAATAAGATAAATATGTTTTTCATCAACTCTGCACTCGCATTGTTTGACTGGCGATATCTTTCATATACCTACGCACTAGGTTGAATATGCTATATAATATTTATCATTATCAAACTGTTTTATAAAAAAAGTATGCAGTTTTTATCATATACGGTATGTATATATATTCCTTTATAGCAAATAGCTTAAATATCTCTAGTTAGGAGAAAATCTTTAAAATTTCGCAATGAACTTCTCAAAGTTTTAGTTTATTCATTATTGTAGTCTAAAATTCAAACAATTTCTCTGTATTTACAAAAACAGAAGCAACATGCCAATTGAAAAATCCCCGGCCTGACAACTGACGGCGCTACTTTATTTAAATCCATATGATTTTTAGTTAGAGCTAACTAACCTTTAAAAGACACGTCTATACCTTAAATTTGACAGCTATCGAACCGAAAGGCTTATAAACGAAATCATTTGGAGAGAAACAGCTTTTGTTATTGGAGAAAAAATGGATATAAAGGAACTTCGTGTGTTCATAAAATATTGATGTTTGATGTGAAAAAATACAGTTTAGTCGCGCTCAAAAGAGCCGCGCGAGCTCACTTTTGTTCAAAAAGTTTTGGAGTTGTTAAAGTGTAATAAATCTGAGATTTTGTATCGATATGTGACAATGGATGAAACACGTCTTCATCATTTCACTCCGAAGTCTAATCGGCAGTAATCCGAGGGGTCTGCACACGATGAATCTGCTCCAAAGCATGGAAATACGCAACAGTAAAGTGGCAAGGTATTTTACAATGCGCATGGAAGACTTTTTATAGACTTTCTTGAAGTAGGAAGAACCGTCAACAGCGACTATTACATATTGTTATTGGACCGCTTTAAGAACGAAATCGCCGAAAAACGGCCGCATTTGAAGAAAAAGAGAGTGCTGTTTCACCAAGCCAAAACGCCGCGTCACAAGTCAGTGAAAACGATGCCAACATGCTATGAACTAAGCTTTGATTTGCTTCCGCATCCAGTGACTATTTGCTGTCTGAACATGATTTCTATAAATGCAATAAGATGGCTCTTGAAAAGTTCTAAGAAAATCCGACGTTTTCGAGTCAAATTTTGTTCAGCGATGAGGCTCATTTAGGACGAAGAACAATCTGAAGTGATTTAAGCGCTGCCATTTCATCCAGAAAAAAAAGCAACGGTTTGGATTGGTTAGTATTCCGGAGGAATCATCGGTCGAAATGTCCTCAAAATGATATCGGTGAAATCGAAAATCACAAGATGGCGTGATATCACACTGCTCGACTTTTTCCTGCGGGGATATATAAAACCAAAAGTCTGTGCGGACAATCCCTTCGATTTAGGCCTTGGAGCGAGACATCACGCGTCACATTTTGAACAACATTTGAAAGAGACGATCTTTAAAAAATTAAGGCAAAATAATTTTCTTTCGAATGATAAAAATGATTCGTAAATTGATTAACATGATTGAAAATTATGTTTTCTGAAATTTTTCTTTTAAAAAAGAGGGAACCTCGAAATGGATCAAACTTTATATAAATAAGCTTAATCTTAATTTCATAATAAGATTTGTAAACAGATTTATATCAGCTTCAACCATTTCAAGCATGTGTAAAATCATCAAGCGTGCTTACCGCCGGTGTGTGTAATCGTACATATATTAATGTCTTTGCTAATCATTTACCGCTGTTATAACACAATGTTGGCAGAAACGAAGAGTAATTATAGAAATGTATTTGTGTACACACTGTATGGTGGTTTATGCATTTTTATTCATATTCACCGTTTCACTTGGTGCAACTATCAGCGCTTACATTTGGCATTGCGCATCGTTTGGCTTACAGCAGGCGATGCAGTGCTAAATTTATCACGTGACATAATAACTCTTGTGACAATCAGCCAACCAAGCGCTATGCACACTATGTGAACAGCGACAATGCTCGAAAAAAATATTTCAAATTTAGTGCAACGTCTAAAAATATACAAATGTACAAACGCCGCGAATAGGCGACGCAATCACAGCACACCGCGATCGATCAACAAGCGCATACTCACACTTACAGCACTAATAATAAGCATAAATGCTCGAAAATAGTTGTAGTTGTGCAAGTCGATGACAGCTACATAGCCGGTCAAAGCGGTCAAAATTCGTTGAGGTACTAGACGTATACGCAACATCGGCATCGGCATTTACTTGCTGCAGAGGTGCTATTCTTATTTTAATTCTAATGGAAGAAGAAGAAAAAGATAAAAGAGAAAGTTGACAAAATATGTGCCCAACCGTGTGGTGTGAATAACCACAGCATGAGTAAAGAACGGAAAACAGGCTAAAAATAGCTGTAGCATAGCATCTAATACATGGATGCAGTTATTATTTATAGACAAGAGTGCGAAAGTGCGAACATAATTGAGCGAATTTCAGCTTTCATTGGTATCACATTACCTTTTTTTGTAATTAACTCTCAAACTCAACTTTACCTACTAATTTAATTGATTCGGCATTGGCTGAAAAAATTTATTCACATTGGTTACCAGACAATTTGTCAATCGTTCCAAAAAGTGTTCGATTGGTTATGACATCGTGACTGGTGATGAATCGTGGATCGAAAGTAAACAGTTGTCGACTGTATATGCTGAGATGAACTGAATCCAGCAAAAGTTGCTCACGCACGAAGCACTTCAAAGGAAATGGTTGCCTGATTTTTGAAAGAAACTGGGCATGTCGCAACCATAATACTAGTACAATGCTGAACAGTGGATGCTGAGTGGTAGACAATAATTTGTTTGCCAGAGTCATCTTTCAAGAAATTAGGAAAGGCAACCTGCCGAAGAAGGACCATTCTTTAGCACGACAATACGAGTTGTCACTCATGGGCTGAAATAGCTACACTTTTGAGCTCTCCAAATATATAATATATTTGACAATCCTGGCACCGAATGAGTTTTTATGGCCGTGCGTAAAAAATAAGCCAAAAGCAAAAGTATGTATATGGATCTTAATGGATAATATAATATTTTGAAAAACAATAAAGCGATTTTTTTTGATTAATAATTATTTTTCAATAGATGTGGTTTTGTAATCCGTATCTCTAAAAAAACATTCTCAGACTGTTTTGTTATTGCTTGTCTCAGAAAAGTTTGATCACGCGTTCAAGATGCTCATCAGCAAAAAAAAACTTTGGTAAGTATCCCGGTCACCGAAGAGTGTATAATTTACGACAATGTCAAGTGAAAACGATCGTGGTAAGGCGGCGCAAATGCTAGCCATGACAAGATTGACGACTATTAAGGTTTTCCTATGTGTTTGGTGGTATTGGCTGGGAATCATCTAGCAAAAGCTGCTCACCTGCCGTCAAATCCTTAATAAGAAGTTATATAGTACTCTTAATGATAAGATTATCTAAAAGAAGCGGTTTTGTTTGCCAATAGGGAAGAACTTTTCTGTGATAATGATGTTTTGAAATTACCTTCAAAATACAATAAGTTTTCGAACAAAATATTTGACCTAAATCGAAACATTCTAACTATGATAAAAAAATATATTTAATTGAACTATATGTCGTTTCATTCAGAGAACATAAAACTGCTTTGAAGTAATAATTACACTAGAAATATTCGGTCATTAACTATGGAAGGTAAATAGTTTGCGCTCACCTTTTATTTCCACTTCTGTAAAGGGTTTCTTTTTCACAGACTGCAAGAAAATAATTTAATATATTAATTTATTAAACATAACAACAAAAATATGAAAATTTCTTATTCGATTTTTATTCTCATAATACTAATATAATTATTACTATTACGCTTACCTTTGTGGTACGTTTCCCCAGCAATGCTGTTCCCAGCATCTGAAAAAGGAAAAAATTATATATTTTTATAAAAAATTACGAAACTGCGAATGAAGTTCCCTAGCATTTCAAGGTGAAATATGTTTACTGAAGTTTATTTGGAATTTCGGTAATAAAGTTGAACGATTTGTAAAAGTTGTTCAGGCAAACAATATTGAACAAAAATTGCATGACATCTTGACACTACTCACACGTGATCTGTCAAAAAAAAAAAAAGACTATTGGAAAAGTAAGACTACTTGGATCACCCGTTGTATGTATAAACGAAGTTAGCTTACACATTTAATATAGAACAAGTAAGGAAGGGCTAAGTTCGGGTGTCATTGAACATTTTATACTCTCGCATGACAAGCTTCATCAAGAGATCTCAATTTTTACTCAAGTCAACTCTACTCGTCACCCTGATCACTTTGGTATAGTTAACCATATATCTGACGATATATACCGTTATTAGCAACTTTATTGCGAGAGTATAAAAATGATGTCCGCTGAATTACATGAAAATATCTGAGAGATTTACCGATATTTTCGGTGAAAAATTAGGTTATGTTAGGTTAGGCACTGAGTTCTTCGTGTTCGATATCAGGGACCTTGAAAAGTTATAGTCCGATCACGACAATTTTTCCACAAGGGATACCTCAGCTCAAATACCGTATTTGTGTAAAGTTTTATTCCGCTATGCATGTGTTAAGAAAATATTATATTCCAAATTTCATTGAAATCGGTCGGGTAGTTCTGGAGATATGGCTTTTGGTCCATAAGTGGGCGACGCCACGCCCATTTTCAATTTAAAAAAAAGCCTGGCTGCAGCTTCCTTCTGCCATTTCTTCCGTAAAATTTAGTGTTTATGACATTTTTTGTTAGTCGGTTAACACACTTTTAGTGATTTTCAACATAACCTTTGTATTGGTTGTTGTTGTTATTATCCAATTTCTTCCATTTCTAACTGCATATGGCAATGCCTGAAGGAAACGACTCTATAGAGTTTAGTTGTCATAGCTATAGTAGTTTCCGAGATATCTACAAAAGACTTAGTAGGGGACAGGGCAACGCCCACTTTTCCAAAAAAAAGTACGACCAAATATGCCCCTCCCTAATGCGATCCTTTGTGCCAAATTCTTAATGGATAATATAATATTTTGAAAAACAATAAATACTTTGTTATAACACTTTATAAATTTTCGGTTTCCACCATTTTGTGGGCGTGGCAGTGGAGAGATTTATCCTACTTCGAACTTAACCTTCTTATGGGGCCAAGAAATATGTGTACCAAGTCATGATATCTCAATTTTTACTCAAGTTACAGCTTGCACGGACGGACAGACGGACGGACGGACAGACAGACATCAGTATTTCAATTCTACTCGTCACTCTGATCACTTTGGTATATATAACCCTATATCTGACTCTTTTAGTTTTAGGGCTTACAAATGTTATGTGAACAACGTTATGTGAACAAAACTATAATACTCTCCTTAGCAACTTTGTTGGGAGAGTATACAAATACAGATTTCAACCAAGTTGATTACAAATAACAGCTAAGATAATTCTCCGGAACATTGCTTATAGAGGAATATTTAAAGCGAATTATCTCATTTTGGCAAGAAAGTTCTTGTGATTACATTTACGCTTTTTGTCTAGGCAATTGTGCAACGTTCATATTTCATTAAGGCTTATAAGCAGCTCGGTACTTTCAAATATATTGAAAGCCCAAAGTTTTTTCGTACCAAATATATTTCTAAATTTGCTTGTAAATACAATTTTTTAGCAAGTTTCAGACATCCGAATAACAAATCAATGCCGCATCACCCTGATACCTTAACCATACATAGCCATAAACATACATTTACATGTACATGTATCACAAATTAATTTGAGCGTTTCAAACAACCAACAGGTGTTTCTGAGTTGCGAGATTGTAGTCGTTTGCTCTAGAGGATATTATAGAACATTTTCTTTTCGATTTATTTATAACGTATAAAATTAAATTTTAAAAGTGAATTTCATTAATCTGCAGCCTTATGCACTGGGTTTAACAAGTACTGCAGCCATAGACAAATTCTATACGCATTATTAGTGAGCATATGTGATTGAATCAATTTGTGTTTATTGCAAAATACTTTCGAAAATCTTTAAAAGTTTTGTTTTGCAATTTTGCTCAAAATTCTAAAAATTAATTTCAACATTTTTCAAATTCATTAGTGAATTATAATATGCGAATCGTTGAGTAAACAAATTTGTTAAGTAGCGTCCGCAATTTTTTATATTTGGCAGCCAAAGATGTGAAAAAGTTAATAATTTAATTTCGTCATTATTAGCCGTGGGAGTGAATTTTCGCATTTATTTGTCATAGTCATGGCGTAGCACGCCTTAGAAGTCACGGGTTTTCAACATAATATATTATTTTAAATATCTGCACATGCCTCTTTTTAYTTACATACATACATATTAATACACAAAAAAATATATATATAAAAGAAGAATCTGAATCGCTTAAACAAATGCTTTCTGTAAGAGTATGGTAATATATCGTCTCTAATGTGAATAGATAGACCATCTTGCGTTTCACTGCGCACGTATCGAATCTAGTTATTTGGTGCTTTTTGTTGTAGCGAATACAAAGCGTATAAATGTGTACAAATTCAAGTTCTGCAGCAACTGAAGCCGCTCGATCTTCTCAAGCGACATTGCTCTATAGGCTCATTAAACGTTCCAAGTCGATTGGTCAGCGAGATCGCGTGATATGACACCATTTGATTTTCGGTGGGCATATGTAAAGTCTAAAGTCTCTATGGTCAATCGAACTTCAATCAGGATCAGCAAAACATCACGCGCGTTGTTCGCTTGTTACCAGTCGAAATGCTAGAACGATTCATTGAAAATTGGACTCAACGGATAACTACTCTGAGACGTAACAACATTTGAAATAAATATTCTTCAAAAAAATAAATGCCAAATAATGTTCTTTCTAATGATAATAAACATTCGCCAATAAATATGAGGTTTGTATGTTTTTCCTTTCTTTTTCTTTTCAATTTTCGTGAATATATCTCACCTAATAGAAAAGTTTTTCTTACAAGAACTGGATTTTGATCCATCAGCTTGTATGACAGCTTTATGCGATACGGATCCGATTTCGGCGATTCCGAGAAATTTGAGATCGTTATCTCAAAAAAGATGATAGCGGTTTCCGATGCTTCCAGTTGGATGTCAAAAGCTTCGTGGCAAACTTAATCATCTTTGTTCAGGTTATAAAACAGTTTTAATGATAACAATCAAATGATAAGGAGCTTACTAGAACTAGGCTTCAGGTGGTTATGTGCGATATCGATCTTCGAGTAACAAATAAAATACAATTTCGAGAAAACGTTTTATCTGATTAGCTGTGCTGTCACATTATAATTCAGTATACAAATGCGATTGTATATTGGGTATAAGCAGTTTCATTTTGTTTAAGCACAAAATTAGCATTTCATATTCTGCTCGTGTATTTATATTTAGCGGAATTATTTTTACATTTAAGTATTTCAAATACTTTTATTTGAAATTTCTCTAGTAAACATTTGAGATTTTGACTAATTACGGGTTTAAGATTTTTGTCTCGTCTTTTTATAAATTAATTGGCAATGTCGCCAATGAGGAAAGCAATAGAATAATTTTTTTAGTTAGCTAAATTATATATCGTCACCTGAAATGCAAAATAACGTAACAACATTTTCGGAAATTTACAGTGGCATGATTGAAACTCGAAATAAAATGGAACATGAGTGAAAAAATTTTTAATATTGGTTAAAACTGATTTATATCTGTGCTCAGAACCTGAAAATGTTGAACATATGTAATATTATGTATGTAATTTGAAGTAGTGAAGCGTAATCAATAAGACACTCAATTTCGAATTTTTTGATGATACGTTATTTTGCATTTCAAGTAAGTCGAGTTGCTGACAATACTTTGCATACTCATAGGTTTACTTCGCACCTCATATAACTCTGGTGATTATATACTGAGGAGACTGTTTCAAACATTTAAAACCACTTTGAAGACATAATGAAAACATTTAAATATTAAACCCCCTTTGCTTGCTAACATCAAACATACAACGTAATTTGTGGAAGAAACTCGGTCCAGAGTATATCAGGGTACTTTTCGCTTCATGAAACAATCGAAATTATTTTCGATTATATCTATTTCGTACTGCTCGAGATCTACGGTATCTGTGTATATATTTTGTGTGTATATGTACGTATAAAATGTTGTTAGCGCTGAAAAAGGAAGTCTGTCGGTTGCATTTGTAAACATCGAAAACACGAAAATTTCAATTTCATCTACAACGGCGATAAAAACAACACATACAAGACACTCATAAAACTGTACATGCTACAAATGAGCTAATCAAATGTTTTGATTTATTAACAAGCGAAGTTAAAAGCTCTTTTGGCACCTTGACATAGACAAGTGAATGACTAGGTAGACTGTGTGTAGTTCTCTAAAGCTGCAAACATCCAACCACTCATGCTTGAGCGAATAAATTTCAATAAATTTTCAAACAAACGCGCTAAATTTAAATTTTTTTCTACATTTTATTCTACATTAAATCATATATACTCAAATAAAGCGTAAATAAATTAATAACTCATAAAAACAATTTAAATCGCATTTCGCGTCGCGTGTGAAGAATAGAAAATAGTTGAATTTACTTGTGTTGTGACGCAGTATTTTAAAATTATAAAAATTATTTTTATTTTTTTGTAATATATATTTTATTCTGGTACGGATAATAAAGTGATCGAGCAGTAAAAATAACTAAAACAAAATATTAAATGAAATTAAATTAATTAAAACACAAAATATAAAGGAATTTAAGAACTTTTTGTGTGAAATGTAAACAAAAATGTATTATTTTTGTGTTGCCAAATCTGTAATTATGAAATTCTCTTTGCGCTTGTTTTTTATTAAAAACAGTAAAAAAAAAAGCATAATTTTGGCAAAAACTCAAA